TTTGTTCAAATAAAAGCCCTGAGGTCAAAATTGGCCCCGCCCCAGGGTGTCATTGGTTTTAACTATATGTGTATAGTAAAAAAACTTAAAAAAACCTTCTTTTGAAAAAACCCAAAGAGCTAGAGCTTAGATGTTTAGCATGAAACATCTTCAAGATTATGGGTGTTCTACCAAGTTTGTTCAAATATAAGCCCTTGGGTTAAAATTTGCCCTGCCCGGAGGGGGGGGGGTAGTGGAAGGAGGGGGTAGATCATTTTTTTTCATTATATGTGTGTAGTAAAAACTTAACATCGTGAAACATCTTCTAATGGGTGTCTTCCAAGTTTGTTCAAATAAAAGCCCTGGGGTTTAAACTGGCCCCGCTCCGGGTGCCTTTATACAGGTGAGCGACCTCAGGGCCATCATGGCCCTCTTGTTTATATTACTACTGTTTAAACCTTTTATTTGTTTGCTTTTAGAAAAAGTTTTAAAAAAGCCAACCGTTATCATAACCTGTCAGTGGCTCTTGTTGTAACTAATATTTACAAAATTTACTTAAAAGTGACATAATTCACATTTTGCTGTCAAGTTAATTTGAGCATTATATATATTATATACTATTATAAAATTTGTGATTGACCAATAATTGATCATGAAATATGTGTGTAATACAATAAAATATCTACTTAAATAATAAAATGACTGCCTCAGTCTCTTTATAAGAATTGAATGTTACCTAAAAGTTACCTACCATAAATAATAAACAGAGTGCCTCAATCCTTTTAAGAATTGAATCTTACCTATACAAGTTTAACAAAATTATTTATCTTTTCCCTGAAGGTCATAGACCCCAGTGGTACAATATGCAAAATTTATAATAACATCATAGGGGCGTCCGTGGCCGAGTGGTTAAGGTTGTTGACTTCAAACCACTTGCTCCTCACCGCTGTGGGTTTGAATCCCGACAGGGACTTTGGATTCTTTCATGTGAGGAGCTATCCAGCTAGCTTACAGAACGTCGGTGGTTCTACTCAGGTGCCTGAAATAATGCACGGAGGTGCACCTGAGGTCTTCCTCCACCAGTAAAGCTGGAATGTCGCGATATGACCTATACTGTGTGGATGTGACGTAAAACCCAAAACAAACAAACAATAATAATATCATGCAGACGTGCATCAATATTAAATTGACATGATCACATACATGCATTATAGTATCACATTTTACATAGGAAATGGAAACATATATTCACCTATTTCATGATGTACATGTAAATTGTAATAATTCACATTTTCGTTGTGTTAAAAGTATATATATGCAACATAAGATTCTGTACTGACTTTACATATTAACGGCCTGAGTTACACAGATGGTTGGTCCCCAATCGGTCATTTAATTTTAAATTTACTCGCTGTTATGATCGGTTGTCATGCGTGATTTTATTTCTGGTTTTCTGTGTAAACGGCCAACGGTGACAGAAAGCAAACTCAAACGGAGTTAGATCGGTAATAAAAATGCTGAAATACTATCGGTTTTTATCGTTTGTAAATCGGAGCTTAATCGAGCGTAACACTAATTAATCAGTGTTTGATAGATAGTCATCAGTGGTTAAACACTTCTCGTCAGATATCTTTGTCTGATCGGAGATATCGGTGGTTAACAGCTTGCATATCTTGGATATAGGTTGCTGTCGGTTATTTGTAGAATATATTCACCGGTCTAGAATTTTAAACATGTTTAAAAATCCCAATCGGTAATTTTTCACCGATAAAACTTATCTTTCTCCAATAGCAGTTGATAGGTGGAAAACAGGTGACCAATAGGTGATATCGGTATTAAATACATTGTCATCGGTTCACTCCATAATTTGGCTAAAAAAAACTATCGATCAATCACCGATGGGTCTGTGTAACTGGGGTGTAAGACTAGATCTATCACTAGTGAAATAGATGATTTGACAGATTAAAATCTTTCTCAATTGTATATTGAATTTAAATCATGTTGATAAGGATAATCACATTTCAGGCAAAACTCAGGTCAAATGAAAAACTTTGTTAAACCAAAAATTCTTTTAAATTGAAATATAAAATTTCTCTAAAACTGTGTTTGCTAAAAGTGAAGTTTATTGGCGACGCCGGTGAGCGGCGTCGTCTATTATGGAACGCTTTTTATTTTTGCCTATGGAAGGAGCTGTTATTATTAGCAGTTAATTTCATGTTGTGTTTAATTAGTTTTATTTTGATTCGTTAAAAAAATCAAGTAAACAAAGGTTTATTATATTTGTTTAATAACTTTTTATAAAAAAAAGCATGTGCATTGTTGATATATTTTCACGAAATTTTTCAGGTTAGTTTAACAGGCTGGGGGGTCCCTTTAGTTTTTTAATGCACAAATTACAAACCCCGGATTTCGAATAATCGTTTGGTCTAGAATTGAGGCCGTATCAGTTCATTCATTCATTTATACATTTTTCAAAAATTTTCCTACAAGAAGGAAAGTATCACCTGCAATTGAGTATAAGGATAAGGTAATGGAAACTGTTGTAAACGTATTATCCTATTGATTTTATCCTATTACCATTTTCTGTTGCGCAGATGGTTTGTTTTACAAAGTGTAACCAGTATTCCGGATGTTGAAAGCTATCCGATTTTCTGCAAATTACTTGCTGGACAAACATGGCCAATCTATTTTTATGAAACATTACATTAATTTGCATGCTTGATAAAACTGAAAACCTGCCAGGGCATTTCATTAATTTTGGCTGTTTAAGGGTGTTCTTTTTGGGGTTCCAGGTTTTCTTTATTTAAGGGAAGAACTCATGTTTACTAAATTATTTGTTCTTTTCTGTTCTCATCTTAGGTATTACTATTAAATACTATTTTTGTTATATATAATTTCACACAAGTTGTAAGGGTCATCAAAAGCATGTTTTTTAGGATCTTCATATTTATTTAATATAAACTGGGAATTATTATGTTATGTGCATACATGTATATCTTAGACCAGTTAGATATGATATTATATGTAGACTTATATTTTCTGCATTTTAAAGAGAATACAGTTATGTCATTATTATAAAGGGATGAGACTTTTCATTTATAGTTATAAATGATAAAACTTGTATTGATTGAAAAATGTCCTTAAAACTTGGATCAAGCAATGTAATTAATAAAGTCTCAAAAATCATATTCTGAATAGTTATTTCTTTTTTTTCTAACATGTGCATTAGTTTGAAAAAAACAGCTTCGGTCTTATCTATTTGTAATGAAGAGACACCGGTCTCAACCTCCAGGTCTCCTGAGTCAACCGACAACAGACTGTACATAGAGTAGATTGTTACTTGCCTTTGAATAAATTTGTGCACTAATTTTATAGTGGGTGAATTTGTTTGCCACATGAAAACCAACATAGTATAAAAAGTAACTGGGCGCCAGATGAAAACATTGAAAATACAATCTACCACAAAGTGGTTTGTTTTGTTGCATTTTCATGTTTTTGCCCGGTGCCCTTGATTGCAAAATACAAATTCAGCCTTCGTAAAATTCATTATTGTTGGTCACAGTTTGAGTTCTGGTCAAGCTCAAAGTTTTTTCTCATCCTGTGACTGATATAAGCATGAGTTCAATTTCCTATGCTCTGTAACATAAAGGAAATTCACGAACACAAATCGATATAGTGGGGAAATATGTTGTGGTTTAGAACTGTATTTTATTATTACAAGAAAATGGTGTAGCAGGCCCGTATAGCTCATTGGTCTTCTGAAAGTCATGGGTTTCGAGTCATGGTCCAGGCAGTTCAGTCAGGGTTTAGAAGTGGTTTTTAACTGACACATGTTTGATTTCATTTAAGAACAGATTGCTAATTATTTTGAAAAAAATGGACAAAGGCAGTATTGCATGATACTTTTAGATCTACAAAAGGGCATTTGATACAGTTGAACACACTATAACTGCACATCTGGGATGAAGAAGTTGTTTTTCTTCTTCTTCATGAAACTTCAAGCATCTGCCATATATAATGACATTCTTACATGGTTTAAGTCTTATCTCTGATAGTAGCTGGTTGATGTGGCTGTACTCATTCACTACTTGCTCTGGGAGTTACCTATGGCTGTTCCCCTGAATGTTCATTTTAGGTCCTCTTTATGTCTAATATATGTCAATTTACATGTCTTCAACCCTAAGCAATTAAGCTTTTATTATAATGCACAGGCACGAGTATCAGACCTTGGAAGAAAAATATGGCCAGATTGATAAAAAACCTGTGTTCATCTTAAAAGTGTCAACAACCAAAAATAAATGTAAATAATGACCCCCTTTAAAAATAAACTTCAAGTTGATAGTATATTTTTTAAAGGGGATCATTATTTACATTTTTTGTTTTTGGTTTTTTATAAACACAGTTTTTTTATCAATCTGGGTCATCTTGGTCATATCTTTTTCTTCCCAGGTCCGATACTCGTGCCAGTGATTATATGCTGATGACTCAGGAAATCCTTGTGTCTCATAAATAAATCTGAAGAAATTCTTTCTTATAGCATAAGTCTTATAAGATTGCTTAATTGACTATTAAATTGTCTTTGCATCTTGGCAAAGAACAGAGTCTTATTCTTCTTTGGTTTAAGTTTCAACTTAAACTGGCCCTTAGCCTCCAAGGTCACATGTAATGGTTACTGCTATAAATACAACATTTTTGTTTAAAGTAATTTAGGTGCAAAATCTGGATCAAATTCTCTTTGGCGTCGCCCTTTGATGCTTTGCATCAATGATTTTTCTTGTTGTAATATGGAATGGTTAATACACAATAATTTTCTTTAACTGGGAATTGCAATATTTTAAAGTTTTATCTTTTTTCTTGTTTCAGATTGATTTTGATTGCCCGCATTACAAAGACCATTTAAGCTTTTGTTGGAAATGTTAGAAGAAGACAACTTAAAGAAATTAGACACAATTGGAAACATGAAACAAAATATCTGAAAAAAACAGCTGTTGGTGGGAGTTGGTGTGCACCTTATTAAAAAACTTTACAGGTGAAGCCTAAACTACAGAGGATAGAGCTTGTGAAGTATGGCCCTGGGTTGTTGGTTGGTAAACTGGACACAACAGCAATGTGTATAGGTAAGCTGGTACATGCATAATATGTATTTACAAATGTAGCTTATAAAACAGAAACGCTCAGGTAAGCTTTTTGGGGGTTCAGTATCAATCTGTAGTTATTGAATTTTTTCCTTGTTGATATAATAAAGGACACCAAATTTGCCAAATCTTCATTTAAAGTTATTTTGATTGTTTATCTTAATTGAAATTCTTTTCTTAACCTTTTACCCCATGAGCATATTGCGAAAAATGGCCGTTTTCATTGAAAAGCCTCCTGTAACAAGTTCAAAAACTGCTATGAAAAACTATGAGAAATGCTTCAATACTGATGAAACTTGGCACAAATGTTGACTACATCATAGCCTCTGTAACAGCATGCTCAATCGTAAATTTCCTGTTACCATGGCAACGGGGGGACGTCTCAAAATTGCCAAAAATCACTATTTTGCATTTTTTTTCCATCAAAACTGATTTCAAAGTGCTGCAACTTCTCAATGAATTGAGATAGAGTACAAGGCTTTTCAGCGTCGGTTACTAGTTACCTTAAGATCGACCTGAGGCCATTTTTAGCCTGTCACATGTCCAAAATTTTCTTGGCGATGAGGGGGACTCCGCCCCCTTAAAACCCCCCAAACAGAAGGGGGCACATCCCCCTTCTGGCAACCCCCTGATGTAACATTTGGATGGGGGACGGCGCAGAAATAGTGGTCACTTTTTTTAACAACATTTCTCAAACGAAAACCAGTGTTGGGGGCCTAAATAGGGCATTTTTTCACTGTTTGAGGCCTCAAAAAAAGGGGAGGGGGCAAAAAGCCGTCGAAACACGCTTATATGAGGGAAAAGGTTAATTTCCTATTCAACTTTTTATATGCCCGTTTGAAAAAACTGGTTGTATCATAGTTTCCCCTCTGGCAGGCAGGTGGGTGGCGTCAAGTTCTTGTCCTGAGCATATCTCTTACAAGCATGGAGAAATTTAAATAAAATTTCATAGAAATTTTCACCACTAAGAGAAGCCTTGTCATGCATGAACCGGATCTCTAGGTCAAAGGTCAAGGTCACACTTCGAGATCAATGAAAAACACTTGTCTGGAGCAAAACTTGTAAATGCATACAGGGATTACATATAACTTGGCAAAAATGTTTAGCATTGTGAGGCAGAGTGTTGCGCGCAAAATTTAGGTCCCTGTGACCAAGGTCAAGGTCACAAATAGGGGTCGATTTACTCAAAAATCAGATGAAAATATGTATTTTAACCATTTAGTATTTATTTTTTGAGGGATTGAAACACAAATGGTCATTATCATAACTACTGGTGTGAAATTTAGGTTAATATATGCAAGTTTAAGGTCACTAAAATTGATAAAATATAGAAATTTTATCCAGAGCATATCTCCTCCACAGACAGTGGGATTCTAATGAAACTTCATAGAAATGTATAAGAAGCAGTGTCACATGGTTAAAAGTTAAGGTCACACTTAGAGGTCATTGAAAAAAGTTTGTTTGGAGCCAAACTTCTACATTCATTGGGGAATTGTAATGTAACTTGGCACAAATGTTCACCAGTGGGAAGCTTAATGTGCACATATTTTATATCAAGGTCCCTGCTATCAAAGTCAATGTCACAAAGAAAGGTCAAAGTTTGTGTACAGGGACCATTTAGTCATCATTTATTGATGGATTGTAACACAAATGATAACTATCATGACAACAAGTGTGACACATTTAATTTAGGTTAATATTTGCAAGGTCAAGGTCACTAGAGGTGATAAAACATCCAGATATTTTCTGGATATTGCCCAGAGCATATCCCCTATATGCATATCTATAATATCCACATCTCTGTCAAAAGCTTTTGTGATGGGCATATTTTGCAACAATGTTGCCCTTGTTTATGGCATTTTATTCCCTGTCAAAGACACAGTGGTAGAAGACATTGAGGCGAAGTTCAGTGTCAAAGAACCATAACTCTATTTTGTCATGATTTTTAATTATCTCCGCTTTTACAAAAACATGTCTGTGACATCACTCTAAAACTATAAGAGATATCAACATGAAACTTTGTAGGTGAATAGATATCAATCTTCAGTGCACAAGAACCATAACTCTGCCATACCTGATTTTGGAGTTATTGCCATTTGTTCATTTTACACTTTGAACTTTGTCCGGAACATAGTTCTAAAATTATAAGAGATGTCAACATGAAACTTTGTAGGTAGATAGATCTTATTTGGTGGAAGTGCAGTCCAAAAGAACCATTACTCAGCCCTGTTTTTGAATTATCTCCCCTTTTAGACAAAATCTTGTCTGTCAGGGACATAACTCTAAAATTATAGAGATATTAACATCAACTTTGTAGGTAGATAAATCTCAATGGGTGGCTATGCAGTGCACAAGAACCGTAACTCTGCCATGCCTAATTTTGGAGATATTGCCCTTTGTTCATTTTTACACTTTGAACTTTGTCCAAACATAACTCTAAAATTATTAGAGATGTCAACATGAAACTTTGTAGGTAGATAGATCTCATTGGGTAGAAGTGCACTATAAAAGAACTATAACTCTGCTCAGCCTTGTTTTTGAATTATCTCCCCTTTTAGAAAAATTTTGTCTGAGACATAACTAGATAATTATAAGAGATATCAACCTGAAACTTTGTAGGTAGATAAATCTAAATAGGTAGATGTGCAGTGCATAAGAAACGTAACTCTACCTTGCCTTATTTTTTAGTTAATGCCCTTGTTCATTTTTACATTTTATACTTTGTCAGGGACATAACTAGGAAACTCTAACATGTACTAACAGGAAACTTTGTAAGAAGATTATAGAGATCTCAATAATTTGAAGTTCAGTGAAAAGAACAGTTACTCTGCTGTGTTATTCTGGAGTTATTTCATTTTGAACTTTGTCCAGGGACATAACTCTTAAACTACAAGAGGTGTACTTTCCTGTACTGTGTCAAAAACCTATTCGGGGAGCATCACCTGGTTCAAACCAACTCTTGTTTCATACTTGATTTTAGTCTATGGAGTATCTCAAAAAGTATTGAAAATATCAATTTAAAATTTCACTACTGTATTTATCTCATAATTGATGGAAGGAATATAGATTTGGCATTGTCTGTCTTGCAGTTCCTTTGTACATTTGTCCTATCCTTCTCAGTGGGGTACCTACTGATACGCCAATACGCGCGGGCGTATAAAAAGAAAAGAGTTTCGAAAAAATAAAATATCAAAAATGAAATCAATAATTTGGGCGTAGATTGATCAACATATTTGTAGCTGCTAATTGATTCTATAGGTATACTAAGGATGGTACCTTATTCTAATGTGCGTTAACAATCAAGAACTCAATTATAAGAAAAGGGAGAAAGCACATATGAGCAAATTAAAATAAAACAATTGCTTGTGTATATCAACAGGAAGCCATGTTGAAGAGAATTATTCTATTGTTGTGTCAGTCTCGAATCCGAGAAATCAGTGTTTTAATGAGGTATGGTTTGAATGATTTTTAAAATTTCAGTTTATACCACTCTATGCGAAAGACGAGACTTTTAAACTCAGAAAACAAAATATTCGGCCTTTCAACAGAAAGAGGGAGTGACGTACACAATGTAAAAATATGATATAAACAATTTCTTTGAAATGTTCTCTTTTTTCAGATTTCAATTCAATTGTGTAGAATTGTTTGGGCCCTATGAATCAGATCTTTGCAGCGAACCATTGTCAGCATCTATAATTACAAACCGAACTCAACTTATGTTTATGAGACCGTAAAATGAATACACGTGTTTACAAAATATATCACTGCAGAAAGATGTTTCTACTGCATTTTTTAATTGTGTATAGAAATAAGTTGTATACTTCTGAAAACAATGACATATATATATTCTTTACGTAGTCTCATCTATACATATTTAAAACATAGACAAATATACAACAAGAACAATGTATAGCCATATAAGACACGTCATGTACGTCCCAATTCTTTTATTTTGACCAACTTTAGATAACGAGTTGGCCAGCATCCTTTAATTTGCGTGAGGCATTTAACTTCGTTATGAAATAGCTTAAATATTTCGAATGGAAACTGAAAGAGTAGAGTTGAGAATAAAAACTGTTAAAGACAATATTTAGTGTTTTCAACATTGACTTAACACGCATTTAAAAATATTTTTAGGGACATAAATGATCGTGCGATACTACATCTTAGCTGATAAATACGATAACATTTTGTTACACTAAAACATTAAAGCTGTTGTGTTTGTATTAAAGTCATACAGATCATTTTAAAGCAAAATTTTCCTTGATTGTATCTCATGTTAAGTTATGATGAAACAAAAGGACAATAACAAAGACAAAACTTGTTATACAATAGAATAGAGAGACACCTGGCTATTGTTTGTTTTTCTAATAGTAAATAACTTTTGAACTTTTTAAAACATTGTCAATGTCAGACCTTATATTCAAAACATGTACATGATGTTATTTTCATAACTATAGATAAAGACAATAGAAATGCAATTAGCTTAGATGTCCCCTTAATCCCTTTTTTTGCACATCTTGCTATATATTATATATATTTCTAGCGACCCTTCGGCCAAAGGCCTGCACTCGGCATACACTCAAAATTGGCCGAAGTACGCCCCTGTTTCTGTTCATTTGTTTGTCAGGCATCTATCATGAAATTGTCTGTTGCAGAGTTGAATGGAGCATCCAGTTGGAACATAAAGCTTTGTATCATTAAGAATAATTCCTGTGACAAAGAATTATAAGTCTCTTTGCAGGTTTTTTTTAGTTATAGCTGTTTGAAATTTTTGTGCACCAACTATGGGGGATGGCATTTAGATTTACCCTTGTCTGTCGGTCAGTTCTCATGTTGTGTGGCATGTAGCTCAAAAAGTATTTGGCCTTCAGTCATGACACTTCTGAGGAATATTGGTCAACATTTGTAGTTCTGCACCTGGGTGTTTTTATCTGTATTTGTAGAGTTATTGCCCTTGACATGAATTTTCAACTTGTGTGGAAAGCAGCTCAAAAAGTATTTGACCTAGGGTCATGAAACTTTACAGGAATGTTGTTCAGAATGTGAAGATGTGAACCTAGGGTTTCTCTTACGGATTTATTCTGTTTTGAGTTATGGGCCTTGACTAAGTAAAAATTTACAATTTTCAACTTGTGTCATAGGTAGCTCAAAAAATATTTGACCTAGAGTCGTGAAACTTAACAGGAATGTTGATAAGCATGTGAAGTTGTGCAACTGGGTTTTTGCCCTTGACTTAGTAAAAGACTTTCAGTTTTTAATTTGTGTCTTGTGTAGCCCAAAAATATTTGACGCAGAGTCTGTAGATTGACAGAACAGTAGAGTGTTGGGCACATGTGTCCTACGGACACATTTCTAGTTCATGATTTTTATTTGTTTGGGTCTCAGACCAAACAAATAATGGTAGATAAATTTCAGACTCTGATGTTCTTACTTTCAAATACCGAAAGTAGTCCAAACTCCTCGAAGCGGTTACTTCCCTTCATTTGTACATTAAGGCCAAAAAATTAAGGGAAGATCACTGCATAAAGATTGTCAAGTGTTACTGGCGCATTAATTTTCTTAACGAAAAAATAATTCCCGACTGGTCGAAGATTTCTAAAATTGTGTTATTCTTATAGATATACATGCTTATATTCAGCTCCATGATTATTTAATATGGTATTCTTCAGGCTGTTATCTCATAACTCCCCATGGTCGAGGGGTTTACATGCTCACTTTGGAAGCGAGAGGTCTGGAGTTCAAATCTCAGTTTTCTTTTTAATTGATTAAGCCAAATAAACATTGAATTGAATATCAGTGTTGCAATTGCCCGTCCCTAGATTTGCCACTACTTGCCAGCTATTTCCACTGAAAAGGGTGGCATTAAGTGTAAAAAGGGTGAAATTAACTGGAAAATGACAAAATTCCACTCTTTTTCCACTGTAGTGGCAAAATTACCACCAAACGCCACTATCCTTTGGTGGCATTTAGGTGGCATTGAGTGGAAATTTGAACATAGTCTTTTTTCATGGTGGCAAAAAGGTGGAAACTGGTGAAAAATGAAACTTAGTTTATTTTGAAGGTGGAAAATGAGTGGCTTTTAGTGGAAAAGCAAAACTCTAACTATTTTCTGGGTGGCAAATTAGTGGAAAAAAACTTAGAAAATTTTGTGAATAACTTTTAGTCGAAAAGGGAAAGGGAAAACTGAGAAATGATTGTGCATTGCAGGGTTTAAAAGATTTATTTAAGTTAAAGCTCCAAACTGAAATAAATCTGTTTCTAGGTTTTATCAAAGCATCAAGTGAACTTTTTATCAAAAATAGAATAAATTAAAGTTGAAAAATTTGAAAATTTATCAGAAACTTGTATTTCTAAAAAATCTTTTATATGCAATACATGTACAAGAATGCCATGAACACAATTCTGATACAAAGTCACTGCCCATAATAGTATGATAATTCCAGCTGTAAAATAGCAGGAAAAGACACTGAAATTGGACGTAAAATCACTTTTCCAGGCGTAAAATACACATAATTAATTAAGAGCAAGAAAAATTAGAAAAGTATGGGGTTACTTTATTTTCCATTTTTTCTTTCTTTTTTTTCAGTACTTTTTTTAGGGATGTAAAGTTTGACTTAAAGTCAAAAATGTCTATGTTCCATTCTATGCTTGTAAAATGAAATTACGGCTGTAAAAGTGTACTTAGCTCTTTTAGTTGCAATCTGTACATTAAATAGTTGAACTGTTATTCAATGCCCAGAAAATGCATATTTCTGCATAAAGTTTGTTGTTAAAATCTGCTATGATATTTAATGTCAATCTTGAATAAAGTTTGACTTTGGTCTTTTCTTTTAATTGGTCTCTTTAATATTATTTTAAACTGATATCTGGTGTCAGTACTAACACTTTTCATGTAATGCTTACAATAATTAAAGTGAAAAATTTAAAGGGAAATAACTCCAAAAGTATGCAAAAGAGTTATGGTTCTTAAACACAGCACATTACTCGCAAAGATCTATATTTGTGAAGTTTCAAATTAATATCTCCAATACTTTTTAAGCTTAATAATCAGAACAAAAATTAAGCATGGAGAAGTACAAAATGGCAATAAACCCCAAATCATGCAATAAAGAGTTATGATTCCTAGGCCTTGTACTTCTCATCAATGAGATTTAGTTATATGTGGAGTTTAAAATTATTGTATCAAACATTTTTTGTACTATGCTTTGCAGATTAAAACTTACAAAGGGCAAAAACTCCATAACTTTGCAGGAGAGAGTTATGTATTTTAAAGAAGAAAAAAAACATGAATCAAACTTGTTAACAATAATATTTAAATGCTATTTAATAAATATACATAAAAATAGATCAGCCTTCAAGATAATGAAGCACTGTGCTTGCTTATTATACATACACAATATACCGGGGGGTAGTATGCCTTTCAGAGGCTTTAAATCTATAGTAAAAATAATTGTGTGAAAAGTAAATAGCAAATAGTTCCTGATACTTTCTTATAATCAGGATAAGTAAATACTAGCTTGTAAATACTGCATCCTCTAAGATTTAACAACAAGGCATACAACACAGATCTGATAAAACTACTGCCCTCTTATCTAGTAATCTCTGCATGGGTAAAATAGTTTACTCAAGCTGACCAGACTGTTCCATTTGATTATTTTGGGAGAGGCAACATTATACATGTTATATGTAGAATCTGTGTTAAAATAGCATGCTAAATTATCTTTCAAAAACTTATTTCTACTCAATCTATTTAGATATTAGACATAGTTTATACATTCAAATGAATGTAAAAAATAACATGATGGGCGCTATGGTTTTTTAATAATCCCTCACAGTTGAAAATTATAATGGAACTTTCCAGTTGTACGGTTGTAAAGTTTGAATTCAAAGGAATTAAGGTCAGTTAAAGATTGCATACACAAAGGAAATGATTGGTATTGTAGCAATTCTGGAGATATTATCTTGTTTAAAATGTAAGGGTGCATATTTTTGATTTCTCAAAGAATACATTAAAAGTCTTATTAGTGTGGCAAATAGAAATGAGAAGTTTTAACTGAAGTGTGAATGTGTAGATTATAACATTAGACAAGAAGATAAACAGCAGAGTCATTCCAAGTCAAAGTTTCAGGTAAGCAACTTTTACATATAACATTTATTATTATTTTTGCAGAAACTATTAAGTTTTTTTTACAGTAAAATTATGTAGTGGTATTGTATAAATTTATGTTTTAAATTTGTTATGTTTGTAACTTGACTAAAAAAAGAAAGCTGATATTACATATAAAGAATAAAGGAATGTAAAGAATATAGGAAGAGCTTCATCATTTCATAAATACAGTATGTTAGAAATTTTAAGTTTGAGAAATAATTATAGAAATTAATCAGTAAGTACAATATCAGTAATATGTACAATATTACATCAATCAAACTATAGATAACCAGGTAGTGAGGTACTTTTTACTACAACTTTCATGCTATAAACATATTTCCTTGTGTGTCACATGTGAATCAGATCAACAGTAACTGTTTTAATGGTAAGCTTCATTCCTTCATGCATTGTTGTAATTCAGCTTTCATGGTGCAGTAGATATATAACCATAACTAGACAGTCTAGAGTAACAAGCTGTTAGGAGAATGACAGTTCATAACAGAAACAGCATTAAATAAGAATTATTCTTTTGCAGACACAAAGCAATGAGGACCAGCCTGGAGCAACACACTTGTTCTTCAGTGGCTTTACAAAGGTATCTTGTTAATTCAAAGTTATTTCAGAATTGATAGGAAAGAAGTGTCACAGTACCCAATAAGACACTTTTCAGTTCTTAATAAATATAGCTATTATGCACTATTTACAAACCTACTTTTATTCAAACTCTTTATGACACTTTAATTTGCATTTACATTTAGTTTTACAAATTTTAGAGTTTTTGTACACCTAAGTTTGAAAATTTTGTCAAATATTTATCCTGATGAAGGTTCGTTAAGAACTGAAACTGGAAGATTATTAAATTACTTAACCTGCACTGATGTTGACGTGTTGTATTTCTGAATTTCTTTCTTATTTTAAAATTTTAGGGTTGTATACATATACCATGTTTCATTTTCTGTCTTTACTTATTGGATATTGATAATTATATTTTAGGACCAAGTGATGGCAGAACTGAGGCACTATGCAGCAAATGAGAAAGGTACAACAAGGCTCTTCAGAATGCTATTCAGTATAGCGGAGATTACAGGCGGCTCGTTGTTTGGTATGAGAAAATGGAACAGAGAGTCTGACGCCAGACCTGCTTGTGCAGACAAGGCAAAACTTAAGTTCTTGAAAGGTAACTAATGAACTGAATGAAAATATCATTTATGATTCTGCATATATTTCCTGCCTAATGGAGTATTAATGAATAAGAAAAGTTTGATTTTTCCATGTCTGCAATGCTGTTTTGTTAAGGTTTTAATCATATCTATGCACTCAAATTTAATATAGAAATATCCAATAGTCATGTAATAAACTAATGTAAGCTAATGTTTTCCATTATTGTAACAATTATTCATAATATTTTTTGTTTCAGATTGTGCGCTGGAAAAGTGGCTGACAACCTAAAGGACTGAAATCCATAGGATGATTCTGCACCTCCTCAAACCGTCCAGGAATAAAAAGATAAACTGAAGATAATAATGGACTAATGTGTTGCTATTTTTTGAGACAATTATTTCATATGGAGACATTAAAAAAGATTATTTTTAAAATTGGTTTGTTTCTCTTTTAGGGTACAGGGTGACTTTTAAGCAGTTTCCAGCTATTGCCACCCACAAGGTGGAAAATTTCTGAAAGGGTGAAAATAGGTGGCATTTAGTGGAAACTGAATTTGCCACTTTGTGGTGGAAAAATGGTGGAAAAGTGTCTAAATACTCCACCAACTTGCCACCCTAATGGTGGCAAAAGGTGAAAATAAGTGGCATTTGGTGGAAAATGAGTTTGCCACTCAATGGTGGCATAATGGTGGAAATTCGTCTAAATACTCCACCATTTTTCCACCATGATGGTGGCAATTAGTGGAAACAAGTGGCATTTGGTGGAAAATGAGTTTGCCACCCTAAGGTGGCATAATGGTGAAAGTTTGTCTAAATACTCCACCAACTTTCCACTCATTGGTGGCATTAAGTGTAAAAAAGGTGGAATTTACTGAAAATTATATACCATCAGTCCTGCTCAAATTTTTCACCATTTTCATGATTTGGGTGGCGTTTTGGTGGCATTTTGGTGGCATTATTGGTGGAAAATTGTCTAAATACTCCAGCATTGAAAAGGGTGGCATTTAAGTGGCAAATCGAGGGACGGGTAGAGTCTAATAGCCAATTTACTATAGTTATAACACTGGAAACAGCATTGGTGACAATATACAAACAAATTGGTTTACAATCTCACAACCTTCACCTTTCTGACATTCTGAGATCCAAACAAATTCAGCGCCTTCTGTGCTTTGATTTAAGTTGGTTATCACTAGAGAAGTATAGCACTTATTCACTTGAAATTAATATTTATAAACTGAAAGATCACATATAGGCAAAGGACAGTGTATTAGAATCATAACTCTCTTTTGAATAATTTTGGAGTAATTGCCCTTTCCATTTTACATACTGAATTTTAGTAACTATAAAGTGACTCATAAAGTTTTGGATATACAATTTATAACAATTTGAAATTTCACATGTGTATTTATTTCATTAATGAGAAGCACACCATTTTAGAACTATAACTATTATAATCTTTTAATCATTTTACAGGGAATATCGTTGTAATGAATTTGCTTGTTCAATTTTGGCTTATTTTTGCCTTATTTATTGATTTATTATATAAATGTTATCCTTGATCTAAAAGTAGTACATCTAAGTGTAATTTTATGTCAGGAATTGAGATACTGATGCAGTTCAGTTGTTTTACTTTTCCATCATGAATTCAATCTTATTTACTTTATCTAAAGTAGAGAGTAAATCAGTTATTCTCAAACTTCTAATAACTTGTTTGTTCATTTGTATGATTTTGGATCAGGTGCTCTTCAGTGTACTTTTTTTCTGGCATGAGCCTGCTTCTGATTTATACCACCTACCTTCTGTAAGCTAGGAGGGTAAGCTATTCGCATAAAATAAACCAAAGTCCCTGACAGGATGCAAACCTATGTGCTGATTTCTCTGATAGCTCTTGATCATAGTACAGAACATTTAAAAATACATTCAATACTTGACTTTTTATATTTTCACAGGTAATAATGAAATATGGCATGGTGAGTTGGACCTTCTTGCGGGCAATGAGTCGGCTGCTATTCAAGTGAACACAGCAAACAATGATGAGGAAGAAGAAAGTGTAGATCAAGAACTTATAGACACACCTGGTTATCGGCCAAATATGGATATGAAAAATGACTGTATATACAGAGGGCAAGACCTTTGTCAGATAGTTGGCCAAGCAATAGTTTTTGCATGGACAGAATACAATAGACATCCAGAGAAGAGTCCCTTAATCCCAACTATATTGATCAGGCATGAGGACTTCACTTTTTTTATATATAATCCCAAAACAGATGAGTTGTATTCACCGCGAGAACTGACTAAGTTGAGACCTGATGAAAATTCACCTGATAAATATGCAGGCATTGTCCTGATGTGGATTTTGCTAAACCATCATTTGTTTTTTCGACACAAACTGACCGTCAACAAAGTCATTGCGTCTGGATTTTCCAAATCAAACATTTCAAAGTACAGTTTGATAAATGAATTTGTTAAAAAAATTAAACCAATCAGAAATCCTTATGAATTTGTTATATCAGCTGGAAGAAGAGGACTATTGCAAAGAGATAATCTTGAATAGGAATTTTGCAGGGTTTGGTGGATCAAAGTGAAGCTTATCTGTTCTATGTAATACAATATTGTAATATAGAGGAACACTCAATTTATCCAAAACTGTTTGACTGATAAAACTTAAACTTAGTGTTTGCATAGCTGGACATGTGAAAAATTATTTGTGTTATTTTTTATTAGCTCGACTTTTTTTTAAAGTAAAAAATAGAAGCATTGTTGCAGTCATGGTGCAGTTCCTGTAGCTGTCCACAAACTTTAACCTTGATCATATAAGTTGTTGTTGTAGTTGGCTTCATTCATACTTGGCCACAACAACTCTTGGGACAAGACCTTTAAGTAGACCAAACTAATCTTGTCCATCATTCATAAATGACCTAGCTATAGACCTTCAAGGTCAAATGTCTAAATTTTGCTTGATTTTTGCTGATTTATGCTATTTGTGGCTAAAACTTTGGTATTTGTTTATTGATTGTCTTCAGATACCTTCAGGCTTACACACAAAATCTTTTAGAACAGACCTTCAAGTTAACCAGACAAGACTTTGACCGTCATTCATAAATGACCCTTGAAGTCAAATTATTGAAATTTTCTCCTTTTTTGCTGGACAAGACCTTTAAGATTTAACAGATTTTGACCTTAAGCTTTAAATGACCTTGACTATCAGTGTCAAATCATTGAATTTTGGTCACATGGTCATAATTTTGTGCAGATTTGATGTATTCATAGATGAAACTTGACTTGCTACCAAACAAATATATTGAATAATATTAAATTGTTAAACCTTGACCTTTAATTTACCTTGACTGTCAGGGTCAAATTAATAAAATTCTCTTGTTTTTAGCTCACCTGTCATCACTTTTCGTCTGTTGTCCGTTATCGGATCCTTGCCAGTCCGTAAACTTTTACTTTAAATATAACTGATTTCTCTACATAAACTGCGAAGCCAATTTCATCCAAACTTAACAGGATGTGCCTTTGGTGGTCACCTTAAAATGTTCAAAGAATTTAATTCCATGCAGAACTCTGGTTGCCATGGCAACCAAAAGAAAAAAACTTAAAATATCTTCTTTTGAAAAAAGAGCTAAGATATTTGGCATGAAACATCTTCTAGTGAGTGTCTATCAAGTTTGTTCAATTTAAAGCCCTGGGTCAAATTGGCCCCGCCTTAAAGGGGTCATTGCTTTTCCTTATATGACTTAAAAAATCTACTTTTAAAAAATCCAAAGAGCTGGAGCTTAAATATTGAGCATGAAACATCTTCTGATGAGTGTCTACAAAGTTTGTTTAAATTAAAGCTCTGGGATCAAAATTGGTCCTGTCCTGGGGGTACTTGTCTATAGTGAAAACTTTAAAAATTTTCTTTTAAATAACCCATAGAGGTAGAGCTTAGATATTAAGTATGAAACATCTTCTAGTGAGTTTCTACCAAATTTGTTCAAATATAAGCCTCAGGGTTAAATTGGCCCCGTGCCAGGGGTCTGATTTTCCTTACATGTCCATATAGTAAAACTTAAAAATCTGTTTTAAAAAACCCAAAGAGCAAGGGCTAAGATATTATAAGCATGAAACATCTTCAAATGGGTGTCAACAAAGTTTGTTCAAATAAAAGCCCTAGGGTCAAAATTAGCCCCGCTCCAGGGGATCATTGATTTTCCTTATATATACATGTTTATAGTTAAAACTTAAGAAGTCTTCTTGTGAAAATCCAAAAAAGCCAGAGCTTAGATATTGTGCATTAAACATCTTCTAGTGGATGTCCAGCAAGTTTATTCAAATGAAAGCCCCTATGTCAAAATTGGCCCGGCCCCCATGGTCATTGATTTTCCTTATATGTACTGTAAATCCTTTTTTTTTCGCGATGTTTTAATTTTTGCTATTTCTTCTGGGGGTGAAAGGGGTTCCACTTAAACCTTTTGTCCTCTTTCTCAGTTGAGCGATCCAGGATCCTCTGGGCCCTCTTGTTCCTTTAACTGGCTATAACTTTGTTGGATTAACTTCATATTTAGACACAACATTTACTATACTAGCATAGACAGTCAAGGTCAGATAATTTAATTTTGCTTATATTTTCTTAACTTTATCATTTATATGTTGAAATGTTCATACTTGGACAGAATAAAAATGTGACAGACCTATCAAAATAAAAAATAACTATGTTTTATGTATTTGTTTAAACAGTTTATTTGTTTGCTTTTAAAAAAAGTCGAGTGTTGCCCCGCAGTTACTTTGTTATATTCCTTTAGTCAGTATAAATCCTGTTGCTGTGGTAATTGAAATAGTCAAAGTCAGTCTTTTGAACAATTTTTGGGATAACTTAAACCACGGATTTATATTACATGTAATGTAAATCCGTGCTAAAACACAGTATATGCTATTGTTATATAGGTGGCTGCATTAAAATAGTGCACCTTTTTAGCTGACCTGTCACAAAGTGATCACATTTTGTCTGCCGTCCGTCCGTACACTTTTACTGTAAACAACTTTTACCTTAAACGACATCTCCTCATAAACCAATTTCATCCAAACTTCACAGGGATATTCCTTTGGTGGTCACCTTTAAAATTGTTCAAAAAATTTAATTCCATGCAGAACTCTGATTTCCATTGCAACCGAAAGAAAAGCTTAATACATCTTCTTTTAAATGAAACATTTTCACGTGAGTGTTTACCAAGTTTGACCAATAAAAGCCCTGTGGTCAAAATTGGCCCCGCCCCGGGGGTCATTGATTTTTCCTTTTATGTATATAGGAAAAACTTGAAATCTTCTTCTAAAAAATCTAAATAGCTATAGCACAGATTTTAAGCATGAATTATCTTCTAGTGAGTGTCTACCAAAATTGTTCAAATAAAAGCCCTGGGGTCAAAATTTGCCCTATCTGTGGGGGTTTTTGGTTTTCCTTATATGTATATAGTAAAAAATCATTAAAAAACCACACAAATAACTAGAGCTTAGATATTAAGCATGAAACATCTTCTAGTAGATGTCTACCAAGTTGTTCAAACGAAGGCCTTGGGTCAAAATTGGCCCTGTTTTGGTCGGTCATTGATTTCCTTATATGTTTATTCTGATCTTGATCCTGATCCGTAAATCTTTGTGAACATGGGGCCTTGCAACTTTCCCCAATCTTGATTCTTTTCGCACGGTCTCATTTATTACATAATATTGTGTAAAAGCCACGCTAACTGATGCATGCATCGGCGTCACATGATCCGAGCTCTGTTATTAGTATGATAAGAATGATGTACCATGCGTTTCCAGGCGCGAGGTAATAATGTTCAAGTGCGTTACAGATCAAGTTTTCTTTGTCCAAAAATAATAAAATTTGTCTTGAATGAGTTAGAAAAGATTGATTTCTTGAAAATCTGCGAAAAAAGTAAAATGTCAAATATTGACCACTATTTGGAAATGTCATGTCACGGATCGTATATATATGAATTTAAGTAAGTGCAGACAAAAGAGCTATATCGGAAATTCATTAATATTGTAGACCACATACCAATAGGACATACAGTAAAACGCAGACAATACAGTCTATTTAGTACTAACAATAAACACAGACAATAGAAACATACAGTGTTATGCAGACATTTATCTATTTTTATAATAAAAGTTCTTTTATAATCTTTATTCATTGTCATAAAAACGCGGACAAATAAGGAATGTTAGTTATCTGTAGAAAAGGACATTTAATGATTTCTTTCTCTCAACATCATGTTTTATGGGGGTCATTTAACACGTAGCTGCAATTAGCCAATTTAGTCAGAATCTCTCAATTTTATTCAGTTTTACCTGATCATCATCAATTTCCAGTTTCTCTCAACAACTTAAGCTGTCATATTCTCACAGCCACTTGTAACCAAAACTGGCATTTTCAATAAACGAGTTGAACAGCAATAATTATTATAAAACCAGACAAAATTATTTCGATTTATTTTTGTTCCTTTAATTTTATATAAAGCAGGACGGGATTTCATTAGCTTCGAGTGTCTTACACACAACCACTAACTACTTAATTATATTATTATTTTGTGTCCGGGAAATTAAACATTGAAACCAACGTGAAGTAATATCTTCCTTATTCTACATGTATTTACATTAAAGTGTCGTTTTTTATTTATATAAAATATATCAGTCCCTACATGTTACATTATATATACATGTATATGGATAAAGAGAAATACTTGGAAAACATCTTGAAACTGGAAATAAAATAACAATAAATGTGATAAGTGTTTAGTTACTGAAAGTGAGCAAGCCCTGAAAGTGTTCCCTGTTGCAAGGACAATATATCAAGTGTCGTTTGAACTGATGAAATTAGTTTTGTCAACTCATAAATTTCCTTGAAATTTTCTTTCTTATTGTGCTTAAAATACGATCGATCGAGTGTCTGCAACCGGTTGAAGGTTACCCGAAAAGGTTTATCAGCGCAGTTGTTACTTACAAAATGAGTTATACTGCGGAATAACTGAAAAAAATATTACTTTAGTGCAGTTGTCTTTAATTAATTGTCATTGAATCGAGAAATATGCCCTGAAGTACAAGATACACTATACATTTAACAGGAATTTTACGGAATCATAAATTAACACGTAGGCCACAAAAATCGGCAAAGCTATGTTAGCAACACTATAATTTATGAGTGATATACTCTGAGTAATACGGGATTTCTAAATAGAAACCCAGACTTTTATTCTCTTACAACGATTTGACAGAGTATTTCTTGCATATTAACGGTGTTTCCGTTAATATTACTCATCTGTCATGGGGTGCCAGATAAGTCGTGTGCTGTACAATGCTTAGAATGGCGTTATTTCGCGTTAATGAATGAAGTTGAAATTTCATACGCTGCTGTACGAGTGTAATGTCATTCATTTCCATGGAAAATTGTTTTAAGGTCAAGAATTTAAAATATGGTAGAATATGCAAGAAAAAATATACATCATAATTATGTTTGCGTTTCGGATTAGAATATCCGTCGCTAGGGAACCTGGTAACCACTTATACGGTATATGAGATTGTGAAAAAGCAAAAATAGTTCGATACAATCAAACCTGAGAAATATGTACTAAGATTTAAGGGAAAGTATAAAGATACAAAATTCTAGTAACAATGTACATGTTTTGTGCGATCAATGACCTCTTTTCAATATATATAATTATATTTCTACTGCGTTACTAACGCAGTAAGGGCTATTTTTGCATATTTTGACCTGTTTATGGTAATTTACATGGGTTGTAAGTGCTATTGATAATGTGTTAATTGCATTCTTTTGGTAACTTAACAATATTATATTGTTTAAATACATTTTCAAATTTTCATGAAAATAAGCATGAATCTGGAGGTGTGCTGCTTTAACCTGCCAACATTACATTTACGTTTAGTGACGCTTAGTACAGGAAATTTGTTAGTAATTTTGAACTAGATGCAAAGGGCAAAAACTGTTGGTGCACACATGACACTAATCCAACACAGTTCTCTTTTCTTATAAGAAAAAGATAAAGGATGTAAAGAAAACGGCAAATTTTTACAGGTTTGACATGACACAAGAGTGATAAATGTAATTTACAATCATGTACGCTCTCTTCTGCAATCTTAAACTGAACTTGATATAAAAAGGGTGAAATAATACAATGGCGATCATTGACCCGGTTAAGCCGGTGGTCACGATTTGATATTTTTTGGCTTGGTTTTACCCCGGTCACATATTCACGGAATACGCCCACGGAAGAGCCACGGATTAATTCCGGCATCGTCCGTAGCTACCCGTACTGGTCAGTAGCTCTCCGTATTGTAACCGTAATCAATCGTAGTAGTCCTGGTATATCCGTAGCGATCCTTGACAATTTTTGAACATGCACAAAAATTTGCTACGGAAAAATCAACCGTAGCGTATCCCTGCTAGTCCGTATTAAAACGTACCGATACTTACTGGTCCGTACGAAAACCGTACTAGTCCGTACTGATTCGTAGCCCACCAACTTGTCAAGGATTTCCACGGTTTGGTACGGATAACCTACGTTTAAGCTACGGTTTTAATACGGATTAATACGGAAAGCCACGATCGTAATACGTTGTACTACGGAGAAGCAGGGATTAGCACGGTCTTATACGGTTTATTGCGTTGCAACACGGACTTGTACGGTCCACCACTGTTTAGAACGGATGAATTAAGTATCATGTACTTTCCAAGGGTACTACCTTCTTGTTAAAAACAGACATATTTGCGGGAACATTCAATAAATGATAATTGCCATTTACTGGCTGCAATTTTATATTGAAATGGCTCAGAATGCGCAGGCAGTGGTCGAGCTGCTAGATGACATGCATAGAGGTAAAATATATTAATATCGTACTACAATTCTTAAGTAATAGAGTAATAACATTTAATGTTACACATTTTACAAACATTGGATCGTAAAATTTGAGTAATTATGTACATAAAACGTCTCATAAGCCTTGGACACTGACCCTTGAGTTATAAGAAGATTAATTAACAAGCTTTTTACATATTTTTAAAACATAAACATTCACGATAAAAAATATTATTGTAAAAAAACGGCACATTTTAAAATTAAAAGAGAAGCAGTTTTGATCAACACTTTTTTAAATGATTACTAGTCCATATCTAATAAGGTAAGAGAGGACAGGCAAGATGGTGGACTGGAGATGGGCTTTTACGAAGACCCCTTCATGTTTAGTATGAGGCTCTCATGGCCGGACTTGTTGAGGACCCAGCATCCTTCAAGAAATTCACTTTTATAGGACCTGATGTGTCTCGGGGGTCAGACGCGATCAGGCCGAATCCTCTCCGCCGAAATCATTAAACTCTGCAATTTGTTTTCCAGGTGTTCTTTTCTTGTGGGGCATTTATGCAAGAGGTTGTGGACGGATGTATAAGGTCCGTATAGATCCGTGGCAATTCGTTCTTCTCCGTATCAATTCGTTCTTCTCCGTATCAGACCGTACTTATTCGTACTAACCCGTGCTTATACCGTAGCAGACCGTAGTGTATCCGTAGTGCGTCCGTCCTAATTCGTGTCGCTCCGCATCGAACCGTGTCGGTCCGTAACAATCCGTGTCTCTCCGGGGGATTTTGGTGGTAAATCCGTCGGACTCCGTACTTATACCGTTGTGTGTCCGTACTGGAACCGTAGCGGACTACGGAATTTCACATTTCCGTAGTAATCCGTGAACGATTAGACCGTAGCTCTTCCGTGGCATTATCCGTGAATATGTGACCGGGGCTTTTGGTATAACGTCACACTAACACATAGATCATATGTCGATTATATGTCATGTGCTTTACTGATGGAGGAAGACCCCTATACTTGCATTATTTCAGATGTGAACGTGCACCTCAGTAGAACCACCGACTTTCCGTAAGCTGGCTCATCCAGGATAGCTTTCTCACATGAAAGAATCAAATGAATCGGAAGTCCCTGCCTTGATTTGAACCCTTTTTCTCAGGCTTGTACAACGTGTTTATCAGGCATTCATAATCCAGTGCATTTATCTAAGGTCTGTATAAGGGGCTTGTAGGAAATGGAACAAACATCAACATGTGAATATTTCTTAGGTCTTTATCAAACAGGAATATATCAGACAGTTGCATTCATCTCAGGTCTGAACACGGGTTACATCAGTCATACATTAACTTGCACATATTTCGCTGGTCTTTGAAGAGGTTTGTTTTGCAATCCCCTGTCATTTCTGGTCTTTCAAAGGAGCTGATAGGTCATACATCACATATGTGCATAGTTGTAGTCAGTGCAAGAACTCAATCTGAACTCAATAAACATGAGACATGTGCTATTTCTAAGGTTTAAAAATTGGGCTCATCTTGTATTCATTATACACGTGCTATTTTTCAGGTCTACAAATGGGGCTCATCTTGTAAACACTATACATGTGCTACTTCCCAAGTATAAAATTGGGGCTCATCTTGCATACATTATACATATGATATTTCTAAGGTCTAAATATGCTGCTCATCTTGCATACATTATACATGTGTTATTTCTCAGGTCTAAAATTGGGCTTATCTTGCATGCATTATACATGTGCTATTTCTCAGGTCTAAAATGGTCAGGCCAAAAAATGATCTCATCTTGCAAACATTATATATGTGTGCTATTTCTCAGGTCTAAATTTTTTTCCCATCTTGCAAACATAATGCATGTGCTATTTCTTAGGTCTAAAACGAGGCTCATCTTGCATACATTATACATATGCTATTTCTAAGGTCTAAAACTGCTGCTTATCTTGCATACTTTATACATGTGCTATTTCTCAGGTCTAAAAATTGGTCTCATCTTACAAACATAATACATGTGCTATTTCTCAGGTCTAAAATTGGGCTTATCTTGAATGTGCTATTTCTCAGGTCAAAAAAATGGTCTCATCTTGCATACATTATATGTGTGCTATTTCTAAGGTCTAAAATTTGTTCCCATCTTGCAAACATAATAATGTGCTATTTCTCAGGTCAAAAAATGCTGTTCATCTTGCATACATTATACATGTGCTATTTCTCAGGTCTATAATGGGGCTCATCTAGCATACATTATACATGTGCTATTTCTCAGGTCTCAAAATGGGGCTCATCTTGCATACATTATACATGTGCTATTTCTCAGGTCTAAAAATTGGTCTCATCTTGCATACATTATAGACCCCCTCCGTGGTCGAGGGGTTAGAGTCGATGACTTCTAATCCAGTTACCTCTCTGGCGTGAGTTTGATCCCCGGGCGATGCTTTGGTAGTTTAGCCCGGAGGAAGGTAGTCTAGACTAAGTACTGGTGTAACTCTCCAGGAACGATGGTTAGGAAACTACCCGCCTATATGACTGAAATACTGTTGGGAAAAGGCGTAAAATGAAACAAACAAACAAACAAAGCATACATTATATATGTGCTATTTCCCAGGTCTAAAACTGCTGCTCATTTTGTATACATTATACATGTGCTATTTCTCAGGTCTAAAAAGTTGTCTCATCTTGCATAAATTATACACATGCTATTTCCCAGGTCTAAAATGGGGCTATTCTTGTATACATTATGCATGTGCTATTTTTCAGGGCTAAAATGGGGCTAATCTTGCATACATTATGCATGTTCTATATCTCAGGTCTCAAAATTGGTCTCGTCTTGCATACATTACATATGTGCTATTTCTTAGGTCTAAACATGGGGCTCATCTTGCATACATTATATGTGTGATATTTCTAAGG